TTACATCAATAGCACAGGAAATAAAATCATAAATATCCAACTGGTAATATTCCATACTAAAAAGTGTTGTATCACTATGAAAACAATCAATAAAATAAAAATGAAACCCACAGAATGAGAGACAAGCAAACCATACATCCATTAAGAGATTGAACTCCTACAGCTCACCACCAACCATAAGAAACTATGTAACCAAATTAAAAATAGGTAAAGAACTTGAATTAATATTTTCCCAATTAAAATATATAAATGATTAATAGGGATAGGACTAGTCATTGTACATAAAATCAAAATCACAAAATATCTTTTAAAAAGAAGGAAATCGGCCATTTTCTACAATATAGACAAACTTGAGTACACTGTACTAAGTGAAACAAGCCCAAAACAGAAAGACAAGTACTGCATAATCTCATGTACACATAGAATCTAAAAAATTTAAGTCACAGTCTTATAAACAGGTAGTTACGGGCAGGGGTGAAAGGGGTGTTACAAGGGAAATAGGGCAGTGCTGATCAAAAGTACAGAACTGTAAATTCTGAAGATCTAACAGCAACATGATGACTATTAAAGATCTGTCATGTAGAGGAACAAGATCCCAATGATAAATGCAACTGTACTGTATACTTAAAAGTACCAATAAACTCAATGGAAAAATAATAATAATATTTTATTGTAAATTTAAAATTTGCTAAGAGTAGATTTTAACTACTCTTTCCATTAAAAAGGTAACTATACTAGCTGATGGCCTTATTAATTAACTTGATCATGGTAATCATTTCACAATGTGTATGTATGTCAAAATTATACATTATATATATATATATATATATACATACATATATATATACACAACTTGAATGTGTACCATTTGTACTTATCAGTTATATGTCCAATAAAGCTGAAAAAAGATACTTCAGAAACATAGCAAACATACATAGTGGGTAGACTTGAAGAAGAGAAACTAAAACTATACTTTTATACAACTGGACTATTTTAACATGGAGTGGGTATTCCAAGTTCTTGGAGAATTATTGCTAACTTTATTAGGTATACTAATGACTCTAGTTACATCAAAAATGTATTTTAAAAGTATATTCACAGAGAATAGGCTAAAACGATACAATGTATTTTATGTGCTCAATAATGCCTGTCTCATTACATCATTAATAAACTAAAAACTTTCAATGTTTAAATTGTGTTAATATCTAATATATATTTCTTTTTATAACATTCATTTATACCAGTTCAATTTTTATATAATCTTGAAGTAAGACAGTTAATAGTTCTAAATAATGAGTTTATAGGTGATAGGAATCAGGTTTACAACTAATTCTTGTTAGTGTGTGGAGTATTGTCATTTTCATCATGTTCCCATTAAATAATTCATCTCCTGATTTTTATACATTAATCACTGTCTAATAGGAAACACCTTTTCCATCTAAGAAATGGGGCAGTGCAGAACACAATCGTAAACAGAACAGGAAGTTTTCAGTGGATGGAATGGAATCCCTGGTATAAAAGGAGTAGTCCCAAGGATGGTCAAACGCCATCTCTGCAGATGGCTGCCCAAGGTGACACTGCATGCAGCATCATTTCTCTGCTAAGCTGCACAGCATCGCTGGTGCTTCAAACATATTGTTTATCTCATTAAGAGGAGCAGCTTCTAAAGGTAAAAACTGAACAAGTGCCGTTACTGAGGAGACAGCAGATGGCTCCTCTACGATGCTCTGCCTTCTCTTGGTGAGAGACGGTGCCAATCCCAAGCCGACCTATTGCCAATTAAAAGGGGTTTTGGCCAAGGGATCTGTACTTGCCTAACCAAACAAGCTTATCCACTTCCTCAGACTCTTGTCCACTACCCAGTTCCATCAGTGTTCCCCTCAGAAATGTAGAAGCCCCTTAAGACCAGTTCTGTGATTTATTGCATTGATATGCACTACTGAATGTCTGAATTTCATCCAAACTTCTCATGGCAATTCTAGGCTGTACTTTAAGATTCTTTCTCTCTTACTTGCTAATAATGAAATTTGCCTGTCCTCTGTAAAAGAACTCCAACCAAGAATATGAATGAAGCATAAAATAATTGTTTAAACTCCCTCCTACTACAAAATGGGACTTTAAACATATGTTTGAAGAATTGCAACATTTTAGAGAGTCAAAATCATTTGTTTTCACCAAAAAATGCGCAAAAATTATGATTAACAAGCGTATTTTAACTTCTATTGATCAGGATCCTGATCTCAGTATTGTTTAAGGAAAACAACAATAAGAATCTAACGAAAACCTTTATGATAAATGCCAAGTACTGAAAACCAGGAATCTATATTGGGGAAGAGAAGGGTGTTTCAAAGAAGGACTCTGAGAACAGTCCAGTCAGACAATGATAGCTAATAAACGATTTGAGTTACTAGGAGTAAGTTTCGAGCCACATTGCAAAGTAATGAGCCAACACATTGCCACGTCTAGAAATAAATCTGAAGGAAATGGTAAACCAGAAAAGAAAAGTAATTTAGACATGAGTGGAGAAAAAGTGCAATATGTATGCAGAATTACATCAGCCCTGGAAATAATTTCATCTGAAAAATTCAGGTCTCATATTACTCTCAAAGTTGTAAAACTTTTCTACTACACCCCAAATGTTGTAGCTTATAAACTTTCTTCAAGCAGTCCATATATCCTTCACTGTTCTATTTGTAGTGCCTAGAATAGAGCTTGAAATCTAGTTATGTGCTCAATGCATTTTCTCAAGGAGGAAGCTCTAGAATAGTAACAATTTAATAATCACGATTTTAAGCATTGTATGAATACAATTAATCTGCTGAGGACAATGAAGTTGTAATATTTTTGTTTTGCTTTTCTTACTTTGTTCAGAGGAAACAGGAACTTCTTTCTAGAATTTAGGACACTGAGACTGGGATTAATTATTACTATAACACAGGCATTGAAACCATTTAAATTTATAAATGAGCATACATCTAAGAATTGGAAAGTTTTAGTATTTCTCATAAAAGAAAGTAATATTATTTTCAACTTAAATGTAAGAATTGGATCCTTAGGCTTTTTCTTTTATTTCATAGTAGCTTTTAAAGTAACTATCTTTTCTCTAGCATTTTTGCTACACTTCATCTTCAACATACCTCCAAGCATGACCTTGCTAAAACTCAGATTTGATCAGGTCACTTACTCTGGTATTTCAAAACCCCTTCATAATATTTAATTCATGTGTTTGCATAGGAGGAAACACCACTCACCTTCCTTTATTTTAGACCTGTGTAGTCTTAATCCAAGATACCATGTCCATGCCCATACTCCTGCCATGCCATGTATTTTCCCAATCTTTAGCCTTTAGCCTTTTATTTTCTTGATTTTCTGCTTTTTATATTCCCTTCTTTGTTTTTAGCCTGGCTGTATGCAATTCTTCTGTCAAAATCTAGTTTAAATGCCACCTTTGAAGGGAAGATTTTTTTTTTATTCATCCAGACAAAATTAATCATATCTCTGTGTTCCCATATCACCACTAGAGAGTGAAACAGATGAGAGTAACTGGATTTAGAAAGATCTCATCTGCAATCCTGGTTCCTCTGTTTACCACAACATTGGACAAAACACTTAAATTCTCTGATGGGCATCTATAAAATGAGGGCCATAACAATAAAAAATGAGTGCACTATCAAGGTTTCTGTGAGGAATAACCATGATTGTGTATAAAATTCCTAACATAGTGTGTGCATATTTGAATCTAGGACCTTTAAAATAAAAAACTTTCCTCCAATTACTAGAACAGGTTCAAGATGGAAAATAAAGATTTTTGTTACTTATAGACCTTAAAAGCCCCGTGTGCTCACACACATGTGCATGAACACGCACACACACACACACACACACACACACACACACTGGATAGCTTGGAGAGAGGTAAGAGAGAGGGAGACACAGACAGAGACAAAGAGAGACATGAGTTCTAGAATGTCATTCTGACTGAGAGGTAGTCACTGTGGTATATCAGCACCTGTCTATGTGAGGTGTGAGAATCAGCAGGCCATTTAAGCAGACTATGTATCGAGCTCATAGTGGTCATCAGGAAGAAGTTGTATAAGGCAGATCCTGGATCTGCCACATAGAGGCACAGGGAGGAAGTGTAGAACTGGAAACTGCATCAAAGATTATGAGCCCTACTACATGTAGGAGACAAACTTGGTTTTCCTTTTTACTGAGTTTATTGGTACATTCTAGGTATACAGTACAGTTACATTCATTACTGGGATCTTGTACCTTTACATGACAGGTCTTGATTCTCATTTTTTCCCCTTGTCCCTGCCCTCCCTTTACCCGCTCCTCTCCTCCCCATCTACAAACACTGTATTTCCATTTTTTTCATTTTCTCATACTTTTTTCTTTTCCCTTATTCCCCTTCTCCAACCCTTCCCACTTTCCCTACACCTTTGGCCCATTTCTTCCCATTTCACATTGTTAATTATCCCATTAGGATCTTGTGTACTATCATAGGTTTTCATACCAGATAAACTATTTGGTATTTACACGTGTGTGACTTATTTATTTCACTTAGGAGTATATCCTCAAAATGTATCAATTTTCCTATGAATGAATCTAATTTCTCATTCTTTATGGCTGAGTAATATTCCATTTTATAGAAAAACCACATCTTCTTTATCCAGTTTCCAACTGATGGACAAATGGGCTGTTTGCATGTTTTAGCTATTACAAACTGTGCCGCTATAAACATAGGTGTGCATACGTTACTGTGATATAATTCTTTTGGAAAGATACCCAGCAGAGGGTTCGCTGGGTAAATGGAACCTCTAGTCCCAGTCTGCAGTCCCCCCAACGATGGAGAAGGGTTCCTTTCTCCCCACAACCCTGCCAACAGTTGTTATTTTTTGATTTCTTGATAGCAGCAGTTCTTTGTTGGTTGAGGTGGAATCTCAGTGTTGTTTTCATCTGCATCTCTCAAATGAATGACCAGTGATGTGGAACATTTTTTCATATATTTACTTGCTGCTTTTACTTCTTTGTCTGTGAAAATGGAGTCAAACATTTTAAATGGATGCTAAAGCAGCATAGAAGCTTAAGACTTCACTACAGTGTAGCTTCAGTTTAGCATAGTTTTTATATAATAAAAAATTCAAATGAAGTTATTTATATTAGTTTTATCAGTTTGTTATGTCACCACTTATCCCAGTTGGAATGATAGCACAAATAACTGCATGCTTGCATTCCTACACAATACTCTAGTTTTTGTGTCATTAAAAGCCAATCTATAATATCTTGCCTGACTCAGTGGGAAGTATTTGATGAATCAAGTTCACTAGCATTTGATACAATGATTTACTGGTCTTTATTGAGAAAATACGCTAATATAACTTATTTGTTGATTAATGTGTATGGATTATGTGTTATTGTAAAACTTGCATATGTACATATATATGTATTGGTATTGTTAGTTTGGGCTCTCTTCCTCTGATCATATATATAGATGGTGCCTCAGTTCATGGACGCAGTTCTCGCCGTGATTCTGGTGACAAACCGAACTGAACGAGAACTGAATCAAATTTCCCCATAAAAGTCAACAGTGGACCTAATTGATGAATTTGATTTGGATCTCACACAGTTTGGTTTGTGACCAGAATTGTGGAAAGAATCCAGTTTGTGAACCAATACGGTTTATTTGGTAACTTACAGAAGCAGAGGCGAAGAGCGCGCAACTGTTGTGTGCATGCTGGAGAGCCAGAGGATCCAGTAGTTGCTTAGTCCAAGATGATGGGAGCCGCAAAATGAGAGGGTTCAAGGAGGCAGCACCAGTCCGAGATCAAAGGCCTGGAAGCTCACTGGAGATCACCTTAATGAGTCTGCATTGGAAGGTTGAAGAAATTGAAGATTAATGTCCAAAGGCAATGGCAGCACAAAATACCCCTCCAAGCACAATGGAGCTTCCTAAAAACATACCCAGCTTCTTTCTTCTTTTCCTTTGTGGCATCTGGGCTACAAGTTTATTGGTTAGTATTACCCACAATTAGAATGAGCCTTCCCCTTCAGTGTATTGGTCTATATGCACTCATCCCACAGACACTTCCAGAGCTGTGCTCTGCTAATCTTCTAGGCATTCCTTAATCCAGTCAAACTGACATACAATGATCACAACAGTATACGTTTATGTGGTGCTATAAATTATTCTCTTTGTAACTCTGCATACAGTAATGCTTGGAGAAGCGACCAAAAGGGAAATCCCTTTTTTCTTTGTCTTCACTCAAAAGTATGAAATTAAGATGAATTTATAGGGTTTAAAGTCACCTCTAACCTATACGTCCAACAACATACCTCCTGAAGACAGCTTGGGCTGAAATTACATAAAAATCCTTAAATTATTCAATTCGCTCAATTCAACTGCTATTTAAGTATTTGCTATGCTTTGTTCATTGAAAAGGCAGTGTGGAACAAGTGAAGACCAAAAGCTCTCTTTCTAGTCTAATTAAATAATGACATATTCCTTGCTGAAATAACAACTACACAATAACCCAAAAGCACTTATGATATATAAATGATAGAAGTGTGCGTGACACCATTGTGTGATCATACTGGTGCCTCCAGTGCTCAAAGAATGAACCCTACTTTAACTCCAGTGTTATACTTCTGGTTGTATCATTACCCAGCTAAAATTCTTCCATGTTTGTACATTCCTGACCTATAACATATAAGTCAAGCTTATAGCATGGCACAGAAAACCTCACCAAAATGTAACTATACCTGTTATCCAAACTTGCTTCCTATACCCTACTCATACCTTTCATGTTTCAGCATAATATCAATAAACTGCAGCAGAAAGACCAATGAGACCCTGACTCTGAGGAGAACTACTTAAGGATGCCACCAAGTAGGAAACAAAAACAGACAGTAGACAACCTTGAAGCCTCTAGTACCCTCAACTACAGCAACATTAAACACCGTCCAAAGTCCTGGCCAGAATATTATAGCTTCTCTCTTCAACGGCCCATTTCTCAGGTCCCACTAACTGGTAAAATGTACCTTACTTTCAACAAAAATTTACCAGATACATAAGAGAGACATAATCTGAAGACATAAAGCAATCATAACTAGACATAGATATGGCACAGATTTTGAAAGAATCAGAAAGAATTTTAAATAACCATGGCTACTATACTAAAGATGTCTCTATAAACATGTAAGAAATATGATGAATAATAGCAGATAAATGGAAAGTTCAAAAAAGAATCAAAAGAAAATTCCAAAATAAAAAATTAACAGAAAAAAAAAAAGAATGCATTTGATGGATTTATCACTAGACTTGACAGAGCTCAAAAAAATAGTAATTTTGTAGTTATACCAATAGAAATTTCAAACTAAGACAATTAATCAAGATTAACATCAACAGTGATTACATACATAGTATGTGTGTGTGTATATATATTTATAAAATCTTTTATATTAATTGATGAAAGTGATAATCTACCTCTGTGATCATCCCTCAAAAACCCAGTTTTAGGCCTGGGAATTTAGCTCAGTGGTGTCTCTTCCTGCCTCGCAAGTGCAAGGTCCTGAGTTAGATCCCTGGTACCAAAAAAAACAAAAATAAAAACAGTCTTCCAGAGAAAAACATCAGGCAAATCTCAACTAAGCGTTACTATTGAAATACCAGACTAATAATAATCTTAAAGAATTTTAAGGTCATCAAAAACAAGGAAATCTCGGGCAATGTTACAGCAAAAAGGAACCTAAGGAGACATTACATCTAGTGTCCTATTCCAAATCCTGGAGCAGAAAACAACTGTGAAGTAGAAATATGGAAACCAGAACAAAGGCCTGATTTTAGTTAAAAGTAATTTTCCAATATTGCCTTGATAATTTACGACAATTGTGTTATGCTGATGTATGACATTGGAATCTGAGTGCACAATTTTTCTGTAAATCTAAAACTATCCTAAAATAAAAGGCTTATTTTGAAAATGTTTTTAAATTGTCATCTCTTCCCTAATATACAATGTTCTTCTCATCTCTTATTCTATTTGCCAGACATGAGCCACCTTCTCCATTTGGAAAATATCTTAGACATCATTTCTTCTATAAATTCATCTTCAGTCTCCCCAGAGTGTTGCTGTTTCTCCTTCCCTGAATGCCACCAGAATTATCTCCTAACAAGGGAATCATGTGCTTGCTTCTTCCTTCAGTAAACTGAGTTTTCCTTGGGTTCTTCATGTCTTATTCTCACACTACCCCAGCAAAATGCTGAACACCCTGGAGGTACTCAACTGATGTTTGTTACCTAAATAAAAGATCATTTTAGTAATATTTCAGACATTTCAGACATGTATCCTATTTGCCTGGTGTGCTGACAGACAACTATTTTTGCCACTTAAAATGAATAAATTGAAACAGAAAAAAAGTGTTTTTTCTAGTTTAAACAACTTATATAAGTGCTAGAAAAAGGCATATATTTCAATTCCTATGATTCTTCATCTAGTTTTCTTTCTCATATGTAAAGCTGAGGATCATCATTTTAGGGTAAAATCCTGGCTACGTCCACCGCTATCTCTCAGACAAGCTGCTAAATCTAGGTGAACCACAGACCCTTCATATATTTTTACGGCCACTATTGATGTTACCAGATTTAAAATTTTATACTTCTCATTGCTCAACAGAAAACTGAGGTACAAATTTGTAGAAGGAAAGAGTTATTCAAAGCCTGCCGTAAATAGGATAGAAGGGCATCTTTGTCACCTCAGATCTCCGTCTTAAGGGGCTCAGGGACTGAAGGGCTTTTATGCAAGAAAGGGGGCCAGATGGGGCCTACCAGGTTTTCCCCAAAAGAGACATAAAGGACTCAGCTCACTCCCATTGTCTTACGTCACAGAGAAGCAACTAAGAACTTGTCAGCAAGAGGCGTAGACAGATTTATTAGGAAGAGTTAAGAAAGTACACACTCAGAAAATAAAACAGTGTAAAGGTGTAAGTGTAAAGTGTAAAGGGAAAGGTGTACTATGGTCTGGGCCCGGGGGTATTCATGTGTTCCTGGAACGGAAATCTGTGGAATTTGTGATCTACTGAAAGCTCAGATTGGAGCTCAATTTGCAGGTGAAAGGAAAGAACCCATTTCACAGGTGAAAGTCAACAGCCAATCCTACCAGGGAAAAGCAAGGAACGGCCCATTTTACAAGCTTATTCTCTTTTAATACTCAGAAATTTTTAGATTGCACTGTATACCTAAAATGTACCAATAAACTCAATGAGGGGAAAAAACAGAGTGAGAGGAAAGTTAAAAAAAGGCATTGTAACCTTGGGAAATTTTGTGTCCTAAAGCTTCAATTTTCTTACAATAACAATTTTTAAATTACATTTTTTCCTGCCTACCTATACTTATTTCTACCAGTCTACCCTAAGATGATGGGCAGATCTGCACTAGGTAGCTCTGACTTTCCAGAGGTACAGTTTTGTTCTCCTCTTCTTAATCCAAAGAGATCTGAACCTCTGTCTCCTGGGGACCAACATCTACATTTTCTTTTTATGCTACTTTTTAATGTCAACTTATATGAGCTGAGAGGAAAGCAAGTTTTACAGAGCCTTCTTTTTACAAATTAAAATATCATGTGAAAGGGTTTGGTTCTTAAAAGATTAACGATTAGGAAAAAGGCTGAGAGCAAAAGGGAGAGTAACTCGGTTAAAGACATCTGCCTCCCATCAACCCCTCCCTTCTTTTTCACGGTAAGTGAGGTAGCAGGTCTGTCTCACTCCTTCAAGCTGAATCAAGGCAAAGAACAGAGGTACTTGGGGTGAGATGGATAATTTGTTTTTCTTTATTGGTACATTTCAGGTATACAATGCAGTTATATTCATCATTGGGATCTTGTATCTTTACATGACGTATCTTGCTTCTTATGTTTTCCCCATTGCTCTAGCCTCCCTTCTCCCCATCCACCCTTTCCTATTTACAAAGACTTTGTTTCCATTTTTTTTTTACTTTTCTCTTAATTTTTCTTTTTCTTCTTACCTTTCTCCTACTTGCCCTAAATCTTTAGACCTTTTTTTCTGTTACACAATATCAATTATATGTTTTGATTCTTATTTATACTTTTAGTTTATCACACCAGAGAAACTATCCAGTATTTACAAATGGCGTATGTAATTTTAAGGGGTCCCACCACAATGACAATATTTACTTCACGTAGTTCTGTGAGGATTAATGACACAATGCTTTTAAACAAACCAGCAATTGGTAAGAGTGCAATAAATTTCAACCACTGTATTTTTCATTAATATTAGCAATAGTATTATTAGTAATATGCTGGAATCAACCAATCAGCTACATGAAGTTTTTAAAAAGTATAAGGGCCATTTTCTATTTACTGTATTTGGGCCAACACACAGGGTCTAAAAAACAAACTAACAAATACAGTATAATTCCAATGGCAAGGAATCAATCAAGTACTTGATTTCAGTTTATGTGCTGCTGAAACAAGCACTCAGTCCTGCACTTGAGATGGCTATTTGGACTGTGTGACCTTGAAGTTCCCTTCTAGGCATACTCCTATATGCCTGTATTCTTTATTTTCTTTGCAGTCTCCCAAGTACTGAAGGACAACACATCAGAGTTTATGAAAGGTTGGCTGACTGAGGCTTTCTAACTCCCAACACAATCACTTTCCTGTTGCCAACTTTTATTCGGTTTGTGATTTATGGGCATATGGAGTGTTTCGCATCCCAGAATTTCCTCTTTTGAGTCACGATTTGCAAATGGATATAATAACCCATAAACTGATATCAGCATCAAAATAGAACCATCCAACTTGAATAACAAATGGCCTTCAGAGGGAAAAGACACTAGCTCATTAGGAAGGGC